CACCCCAAACACGCATGTTTCTCAAGGAGTAAGCTGTGGTTCCGGCGAGCCAGATGAGCCCTTCCTACTGTGGCTGCTTGGCACTGACAGATGGGATGTCCCCGCTCTCTCCAACCGTTTGTGCTATGAAGCCTGGTCCTGGGACCGAGCCCCAGCCAGCGGGGCTCGTCTCTTCCTCATCACCCTTTAAACTCTTGCCATGCTCTCTTTTCCTGAGCTGTAGGGAGGAAGGACATGTAACAGCGCCATTCAGGAATGGTTAGCAGGCTAAGGCGAAATGACAGCTCCCGGATCTTACAAGTTACCACTTGGCCACTCTGTGTTGCAGACAACGAAATTGGAACCCGGAGGAGGGAAGCAATTTGCCCAAAGCCACACAGCTAGATGGAGGCAGAGCTGGGGGTGGAAGCCAGGTTGGTTCTGCGTGGCTTTGGGTCTCCCTCTGGCAGGGTTCTCCCTCTCGTTTTTATTGGGCTGAGGTTGAAATGAAGTGCGCATTCCCGAAAGCCGGCAGGGACAGACAACGGGGCAGTTTAAAATAAATAGCAGGGGGACTGTGGGGTGGAGGTGGCTGTGGACTGGGTTGAGCAGTCAGCTACATTTTCAAGAAGAAAAGGGAGGCCAAAGACTGGCTGGCTGCTGAAGGCCAGGAGCAGATTGCGGCTCCCCTCCTTCGGCGTCCTGGGTCCGCGGCCCCCGGCTGGTGAGCTGGACGGTGCCTGCTGGAATGTGATGGGAGAAGCAGAGCTTGAAGATGCTCAAGGACCCTCGGTTTACAGCAAGATGGTCGCAGGTCCTGCTTTCCTGAGATGCTCATCGCGAGAACGGGAGCTCCAAAGGCGCACTGAGCAGATTGCTTCTTGGGAAATTACACTTGCCCCCCACTATGTTGTTTTCCGTCATTTATTAGCCTAACAATCTCGCCGGAGACGCGGGGCAGATGTTACTCCCCGCGCCCAGTTGGGAGCACAGATTCTGAATTGCACAGGGTCTCTGGGCACGTTTCTCTGAACTGCTTCTGTCTGCGTCTGCTAGATTAGCTCCTTCTGAGGAACAATGTTTTCCCACCAGCCAAGCTGCCTTCTTTGAACCACACTTGAAAAGAAACTTTCAAAGGCCACACCCGCCTCCCCAAACACCTCTTTCCAAAGGCAGCCGTCTCCCCGTCGGGAGCACCTACCTTCTCCCAGGTCCACATCTGAAGATCTGGCTCAAAGGCAGTGGCTTTGCGCGACCCACTCGGAGGGAAGGACAGAGGCCAGGATGGAGGCCAGCCTCACTCGGACCACGACTGCCTTATTGATAACACAGTGCCCTGGATTGCCAGGAGTTTTCTAGCATGTGATTCAGTTCCATTTTGTGATTTGTGACCTGTCCCAATTGTGGAAGTCACATATCTTGATTTTTTCTCCCCCCCCCCTTCTTGGAACTGAACATTTAGGGCTTGTTTGAGTTGGACCAAATGCTGTTTTAACAGCTATTCTAATCGGAAATGCTGTCCATGATTAACCCTGATGGGAGTTTTTCTTTCAAAAATACTTCTCTAAGCTCTCTCAAAATGTCGAAATTGGGCCTCTTGGTAGGAAGTTGTTTAGTGGGGTTGCTACATTGCTGGGCGAACATCAGTTTCCCCATCTGAATTGTGGAGATGGTCATGGTAAGGGCCTTCCCTGGAAGGTTACTGTGAGCTCACACGTGGGAAAAGCTTGGGAACAACTGGGATAGCGCGTGGTAGCCATCATCATTATTATTATTGTTGTTGTTAAGAGTGGCTCTGTCCTGCCAGCTTGAATTTCCAGGAGCTTCCCCTCTGGGATCACCACCCTCCAAAAAATCAATGTTAAGGAACAGTCCTTGAGGGGGATAGTCTTCCTGTCCATTCTTTGACTCACCAGTGAGCGGAGCCCATTCCTGGGCGGGGTGCGGCCCACGGAGAGATGGGTAAGGCTCATCCCCTGCTTCTACTATTTGGGGAGACCAGCAGGGAGGGGAGTGCCACTCCACGGCAGGCAGGCAATCACCGTGCAGTGATAGCTGGGAGGGACATTGTGGGCATGCTCTCCACCCACCCACCCCAGACCCAGGGACAGGGAAGCCCTGGTTTACTATAAGCGCTCACCAAGTGCGCAGCCCCCCTCCCTCTCCTCTGCCTCACCTCCCAACCCTGTGTCATTCTGTCTTATGCACCCAGGCCGACCTTGAGTTCGGGCCCAGAACGGGGCCTGAATGCCCATAGCCCCGGCCTCCAGAAGGTTCCCTGTCTGTGTGGAGTGGTTCTGATGGCCCTCGGTGGATGTTTGTGGTATTGGGAGGTGGGCGAAGGAGGCAGGAACTGCTTCCAGTAGGGTGTAAGGGTGAGACTGGGCACTTGCTCGGGGCCACCGGCAGGGCTTCTCGGGGGGCCAGCGGTGGTCACCTGGTGGCCTGGATGCCAAGCCTGGAGCTGGGCACAGCTACGGGAAGTCTTAGCAGGTCCCTTTTCCTCATAGCCAGAGGATGCTGGGCTCCCGACCAAACCCTGCGGGAGGATCCCACCTGTGGGAAGCCTTTGGCCACATGTTTGCTAAACGGTATGGGGAAGGGGAAGACCAGCTACTTTTCATTTTTTGCTTCGAACCATCAAGACCCTGACACTTGACCTCTTTGCTAGAGGAAGGAAGCAACAGATGGGAACCCTTTTATAACCACCCACCCCAGAGGTTATGAGAGCTGTAGTTGCTGCGTGGGAAGGTTCCAAGCCTGCCTGCCCCCTGCCTCCCTGGCTCGGGTGGAGGCAGCAGCCGGAGACCCAGTAAGACCCACCGAGACGGCTTGTGGCTGGTCTGGCTCCATGGCCCTGCCTCACCCTGTTGGCGAAAGGCTGCTGCCCGCCCCACCTCCCAGTTGTTATATCAACATTCCATCCACCGCGGCCCTTCCCACAGATGTCGCCCACCCTGGGCCAGGCCCAGATGTGCAGTCAGGGGGGCCTTGGAAAATCAATGCACAGAGGCCAGTGAGCCTCTTGGCTAAATATTTATTGAGTACCTAACTGTGTGCCAGGCACTGCTGTGCTGGTCATTGGTGGTAAGAGGCTTTGGACCAATGAGCCTAGGTGGTTTAGTTTATGTCTGTTCTCTGTTTTTAATATATCCTTCTATTCTAATGTGGCACGTGAACATCCGTCAGTTGAATGACCGTGTTGTCCTGTGCAGGTTTGGACTGAGATGCAGACTGGTGGAGTGTTCTAGAACTCCTGCCCTATACACCGCTGATCCTATTTCCTTCCCCTTTCCCACTATCAATCGAGGGAAAGATGAACAGAAATGAGAAAGGATCCTCTTTGGGAGAAGAACTCTTCCCACTTACTTAGATTAATAATTTATACAGTAATTACTTAGTCATCTTCCTAGATTCCTTACAATATAAATGATGGGAATCTAGTGGGTCAAGTCCAGGGATGGTGCTAAAAACCCTACAATGCACAGAACAGCTCCATTCCTCAAAGAAGTGTCTGGCCTCAATGTCTGCAGCACTGAGGCTGAGAAGCCCTGGTGTCCAGTGTCCTTACTGGAGCTTACCCAAATGGCAAATGGGGCAGTAAGGCCCAGAGGTCTCAGCTAGGGGAACACTCCCTCTCTCCCCTGGAATTTGGAAGTGGGACCCATTATTGGCATTCAGTGGGTCATTCGGTCCTTTGCAACAAAGAATTGTTCCACCCCGGATGCCCACAGGGGCAACTCTGGCCCTGTCCTGAGGATCCGAGTGTTCCAGGAGAGAGGAGCAATCCCTGGTCCCCACCCAGTATGCCCCCAGTAGACAGACTGTCCGTGTTGGAGACTGCCACCATGGCCGGCAGCCCCCGGATGTAGGGCCACACAAGCCTATCAGGTTCCCAGTTGATGGCCTGTCTTGTCTCTTCACCGACCAGAGGCGTCCTCATTAGTGGCTGGGGGTTAGAGGGAGGTGGGGTGCTAGCCCCGGGAATTCTCCCAAGGTCTGGGCTCTGTTTCTAAGCCTTCAAACATCATTGTTTTTAAGTGCACCAGGATTTCTCATCGAGAGCCATTTGACGATGATCAGAGATTTTTAAAGGCTGTTGTCATGGTTTTGTCTCTGGAAGATTGCTGTGGGCTGATGAGTGCTTTGAAGCCCACACTGGGACCTCAGTCCTAGCGGCCTCGGGATTCAGCAGGAGATAAGGAAGGCAATCCTGAGCCCTGTCTGTCAAGGGGCCTAGGCCTTCCTGTCTGGACACAGTTAACCATTTGGCACTATTTTTTTTTCCAGACTGCTCTTGATCCAAGATGAGAGGATTAACATAGGACAGGGGTGGCAGAAGTTGTTGATATTTATCTAGATGTGATCTTGGCTGGCATGTTGGGGATGGAGCAGAGAAGTGGTCAGCTCACGATCAACTTCTAGGAAGGATTGGGGTTCCAATGAGTTACCTCCTGAGCAGCTTCTTCAAGAAGGCACTGCTTTAACCCTAAAATGGGAAGCATTCGTGGTGGGATTTCAGGCTGGGTGGGGGAGGGATCCGTCTGGTGGGGGAGAGGCAAAGTGAAAAGTGGAGAGGGGTAAAGGAGGCCCTGGAAGGGGTCACCTGCTTTGAGAGCCAGAGAACCTGTCCTGCTGTTGCCATTGGGCAACACTTCACTCAGATAATGGGTTTTACTGGGGTATGCGGTGGGGAGTGGGGGTGGGGTTGTTCTTGTTCCGTTTTGCTTTGTTTTTAATTAGGGCTTCCGTCCAGAGCGGGCGACTCTCTATAGTCTGAACCACACATGTAGACCCCCCTCTGATAGGAAATTGGAGCTCCCCACAGCCAAGGCAGCCTGGCTGGGGGAGAGCCTCGGATTTAGCAAGGCCTCCTGGCAGGGGGCCAGCTGAGGGGGCGGGGGAAGCATGGAGCCCGCCTGGGGGGTCTGTGGTTTTGGGGGAGTGCACTGACACCTGTGGGACATTTTCGCGACTTGATATATCTGCCCATGCTTCACGCTGTCTCTCTTCTTCTGCAGACAGAGATTGCGAAGAGATTGAACACGATTCTAGCACAGATCATGCCTTTTCTGTCACAAGAGGTAAGACCTTCTTTAACTGTGTCCTCCTTGTCTTTCCAGTGCAATGCAGCGTGGTGCTGCCTGGGTCCCCCTGGAGTCCCAGCCCCTGTTCTTTCATAGGGACTGAAGTTAGCAACCTGAGGATTTAGAGAAAATGCTCCAGCACATCAGAGGGAGCATTTGCTCGTTCTTCTGGTAGAACTGGTTCTCTGCTACCTCCTGAGACCAAAGAGAGGAAGATCCTGGCCTGTGATGGGGCTAGCGATGGGCAGTGGGAGCCCTCTTTGCCTCCACCCCATCCAGACGGCCATTCCTAGCCTCTGTCTGTGCCCCATCTCCCACACCTGGAAATATCTAGGAGCAAGAAGCCTGGCCAGATAGTGCTAAGGGGCAGACCTTATAAAGGGAGTGAGTACCCAAGGGGGACCCTAGTCCCTAGGACAGAGTGTCCTCCCTAGAGGCATGACCAATCATACTACCTTCTAAGCATACCTCCCAAGGGACCACCGCCTGAGGCCTGGACTGGTCTAGTGGGGAAGACGAGGGAAGTGTCTCCAAGGAGGCCCCTTGGTGCAGGTCAGACAGGTGACTGCCTGAGAGGGGCCTGTTTCTGTCCAGCAGAGCTCCCTCCAGCTGGGGTAGGCCCTGGCCTCCGTGCCCCCTGAGGGGCTGGGACCACCTCAGCTCCCTCCCGGACTCCTAGGTCTCTGAGTCAGAGTAGCGACCCGTAAATGAGTGAGTCCATGTGAAAACACCATATAGTGATGTCCTCAAGCTTACAGCCCAGTAGGGGAGACAGCTACATACAAAGCAGGTGCTATCCCAAGGCCGAAGGGAATGAACGCACCAAAAACATACCTTTGTTAAAATAGACTTTATTTTTTTAGGGTGGTTTTAGGTTCACAGCAACCTATGAGTGGAAGGTACAGAGATTTCCCCTGCTACTAACATCCCGCACTAGAGTGTTGCATTTGTTAGAGTTGATGAGCCTGCGTTGACACATCATTATCACATACCAAGTCCCTGGTTTATATTAGGGTTCATCATGCCACTTTCTCTGTCTTTCCAGACATATTTTCGTTTTTCTCTTCACTTAGCTAGGGATTGAGTACTTCTAGATTCACATACTTTTCTTCTGAAGTCCTTGAATGTTAAGTTGCAGATACCCTGACTCAGCACTCACTCCTAGCTGCGTCTCCTGAAAATGGGAACCCCCTTTCTGTGACGAATGCCATTACTGCATTTAGAAAATTAATAATGAGAACTGTCCTCCCCTCTCCAGCTCGTATTCAAAGGCACAGAAGGACTTTTTTTTTTAATGTGTGGTAGAGGGAGGCGGGTCTTTGGGCTCATTGCTGTTTTAACTGAAAACAATGTGTGGGAAGTCGTGCTTGCAAAAGTAATACATGCTCATGGAAAGCATTTAAAGCAGAAGATAGAAAGGCCTGGGCCACCTGTCTCATGGACCTCCTCTGCCTCGTGCGGGGGCTGCGTCCTGGCCTGTCCCCCGCGGCCCTCACTGTGTCCCCTGTGGCCGGGGAGGCAGTGCATCTCACCTGCTCCCTGTGTCCTCCAGCACCAGCAGCAGGTGGCGCAGGCCGTGGAGCGGGCCAAGCAGGTCACCATGACGGAGCTAAACGCCATCATCGGGGTACGTGGACTCCCCAATCTGCCTCTCACCGTGTGTATAGCCCTTTTATTCCTCTCATTTACCATAACCAGAGATCGACCCTGACCTCAACTGGCCTCAAAGAATGGCGGCCCCAGGGCTCTGGTTTCCCGTGGCTTGGACCCATTCGGGGCTCTCTCCCCACAAGCCCCTCAGTTACCTCCTGCTCTCCAAATTGACGGGTTGTCTGAGATGCCTCACTTCCACCTCTAAACTCACCAGCCCCAACCTCCTCCAGCTTTTGGTGCCCCACCATGGAGGGGGCAGGCTCTGAGATATCGCTCATGCCCAGCTCCTCCTCAGGCCTCCCCCGGGGGGGCCTGTCTGCCCTGTGTCCCCTCCCTGGCAAAGGTCTGCCCTTCTTTGGCCAGCTGGGATCAGAACTGTCTCTGTTGTACTATTGATCTGAAATGTGCTGTGGAATTGGGGTTTGGGCCTAACTCTGCCATGCACTGAGCTGCCTGACTGAGTGTGGATTGTGCGCCCTTGTGAATTCCATCTGGGATATTGTGGGAGTGCTGTCTTACCGGGACTGGGAAAAATACCCAAGAGTGCTTTGTGAGGTCCACTTTTGGTCGGACCCCTCCATGAAAGGAGGAAGCCAGATCTCTCCTCTTTTGCATCCCTATCTGGCTTGCATCTTTAATGCATTTCTTGGATTCACAGAGCATCTTTTCTCCTGCTCCGGTGTGAGGCCAGGGATATTTAAGATAAGCAGCTGAGGAAAAACAGTTTTTTCATGTGACTCTGGGCAAAGCTCTTAGCCTCAGGTGTTCCTGTCCACCTTTTGTCCCTAAAATGAACGGGGTCGGTGAGATCACTGCTTCCCATCCCCAGACAGCTGGGTCAGGGGGGCTTCTGAGCAATATAGAATCCAGGGCACTCACCCCAGAGTTCTTTTCCATAGGTCTGGGGGTGGGGCTGGGAATCTTTGTTTCTGAAGTTTTCCAGATCATTCCGAATGAAGGGTAGTCAGGTTTGGGAAGCAGCGGCCCAAATGGCTGAGGTCCCGTCAGCCCTAACGTTCTGGGACCCTGCTTGGTCCTCATTTCTCTTTTGTTCTTATGTGATGTCATTATTTCATGGTGGAATTGAAGGCCCCGAATGTTCTGCTTGGTGGGATAAATGATAACTCTTGCGTTTTCGGTCTGGGTCAGAAACCCTGAGATGTGCATTCTGGTTATAGTTCTTTCCTGTGTGACCTCGGCAGGTCCTGCCTCTTCCTGGGCCTCAGTTTCTGCATCTGTTAAAGGAGCGGAGGGAGTGGACCATCTCCCTGGGCCAGATGTGCTGGGGTAGGCTAGGGGCAGAGAGGCAGAGGGATGCTGACCCACTGCTCCGTCATCCCGCTGTTGGGACCCGTGACAGTGACCCGGTTCTGTCCTGGTGTCCGCCCTGTGGCAGCTGCCGAATGCTGCGGCAGGAGGGCATGGAAGCGTTTGCCTGGTCTGAAGCCTGGGGATGCTGGGGAGGAGCAGACCCCACCTACTGTGTGGGAGGAGCAGAGCAGAGTCCGGAAAGGGGACTATGAGTAAGCGGTCAGTGTCTTTAGCCGTTGAGCTGGGAGGCAGCACTCCGAAGGGGAAGCCATAGTACCGTAAGGCTTATTGTCGTCCCTGAGATCAGCCAACCCCAGGGTTCTTCAGCCTCGACACTCTGAAGTTTGGGGCCAGATACTCGGTTGTGGGGCCAGTCCTGTGCATTGTAGGATGTCCAGCAGCAACCCTTTTTTCTACCCACTGGATGCTGGTGGTACCCAAAAATGTCGCCAGACATTGCCAGATGTCCCTAGGGGTTGGCGGGATGGCCACTGGTAGAGAACCACTGATCTTGCCAGTGCTCTCATTTCACAGAGGGGGCAGTGATTCAAGGATGGGCACAGTCAGCCAGAGGCCTGGGGGCCTGAGTCCCCCAGCTCTTCCCTGGGCAGCCCGCCTGGGTGACCAGTTCACGTCTCTGATAGCGGCGGAAAGGGGCCCCGGGGGCGGGAAGTGTGCCGTGGGCTCTGCCCTCTGGAATTCCTCCTCCTCCAGCTCCCCGTCCCGTCCCCTCTCCCGGCCAGGCCCTCCCACCCGCGCAGTGGCCCCCAGTGGGCCCCCCTCTCCCGCTCCTGCCACCCTCTTTGGAATTGAAAATCCTCTTACGAAAATAACTTTTTTCTAAATTCTAAGAAAAAGGGTGAGACTGGGGAGGAAGTGCCGCTTGGCTTAGCTCCCCTTCCTTTAAGTAGTATTTAGGAAGCTACAGGTTAGGTCATGGCAGCTGAAGGCAGATATTGGAATTCAATTAAAGCCAGTGAGTGGGGCCTGTGACCCCCATTTCCAAGGTAATTGCTTCTCGGGCTCCGAGTGAATGCAGCCGGCGCCCTGTCATTAAGCAGGCGGCCGTCTCATCGCTGCACCTGACAGAGCCTCACCAGGCAGGAATTGCGGACAGCTGAGGCCTGCTCGCGCTGGGGAGCCAGGCCTGACTGCGCTCCGCTGGGGAGGAGTGGGCTGAGCCGGCTGGCCACCTGAGCTGACTGGAGAAGCTGGGGTGGAGGCAGGGGGGTGGTGGTGGTCCTGGCCCCCGCCGGTAAAGGGCGGTGAAGGGAAGGCTGCCCCCCGCCCCCCATGGTGTGTTGGATTTGCCCGTCTGGAGGGAGAAGTAGCCCAGCCTTCTGGTCCGGGAATTAGGAGGGCTTTGGGCAAGGCCCTCCATGCCTCCGAGCTTCAGTTTCTCCAGTTGTGAAAAGACAGAAGAGGGCTAGGTAAGTTTCGTATGGTGTGCCTGCTTCAGTCTGGTGTTCATGGCTGTCTTGGGCATAGGGTTGAAGGACTCTGAGGTCGTGTCTTGGCTCGACAGTTCAGTATATCTGCTGTGGGCATTTGTCGTGGTTGATTTCCCACATGGAGTAGAGTATTTCTAGGGTCTCCTGGAAAGGAAGACTCGGAACCACCATCAGGTTGGTGTGAAGGGGCAGGTGGGGGGAGCCCAGGCTTGCTGGACCAGCACAACCCCTTTCTGGGGAACTCAAGTATTCCCCCGAGGGAACACGGGCCCAAAGATCTCTCTGTGCCAGCCAGGGCCTGGCAGGGCCCAGCTATTGTAGACCCCGTACTGCGCTAGGCCCTATTTCTTGGAGCCACATTACTAGGAGAGGGATCCTCAGAGAGTCAAGATCCCTGTGCCTGAGGGCGGGGTTTGTCCCTGGAGCAGCATCCAGCTGAAGGCATCCCTAGGCAGATTATAGACCCTGTGAGCTGACCTAGCAACCATTTCCAGAATCCTTTTCCATTGCTCTGTGCTGGCCCAAGGTCATTGAACCTGATGGATGGAGGGGCTCTTACCCCATTTGCCCGCTGACGGTTTGGTGTGCGTTCCCTTGGAAATTTATTAGCGGAAGACATGTTATAAAGTGTTGACTTGATTTTTGGTTGGGGGGGGTGGTGAGGAGGAGGAAGAGGGAGATTGTAGCTTTTCACAGACGACACGGTGTTTTGAAGCCGTACCTGAGGGTTTTGCATTCACTCCAGGATGTAGATGCACAGGATTCACTCGACTGAGTTTTCCACGAGGAAGAAGGTGAAGAGGGCGTGCTTCAGAATACATGAGTTTCAGCCCGGCAGCGCGGTGGGGCGTGGGTGCGCCGGCTCTGCTTGCCTCCCCGAGCCTGTCCCCACCTCCGAAATAGGATGGCAGGGGTTGTTGGGGACTCTAAAAGCTATGACAGAGCATGCGCCAGGCTGCGGGGCCTACCAGCCATGTGAGGAGGCAGGCCCAGGGAAGGCCCAGGGCTGTTGTCCCCTTCCTGGGAGGGCAGGAAGTGTCCATTTTATGCAGTCAGAACTCTGGGCTTCCTGCGGTGGGTGTCCTCAGTGGACTCTGGAAATGTTTAGACGTCACTAAGTTTAACCGAAGTCATGCACCTGAGAAGTGAAGCATTAAATCAGCCAGCAAAGGCATTACAGCGTGCTGTGTATAATCCGGTTACTCTGCGAGGGAGATCTTCCCCAGCAGCCTCTCCTGTAAGTGGCCCTACCCTCTGAGCCCAGGCCACGGGCACTTGACACACGCGTGGAGGACAGGCACACACTTAGGGGCCCCCGGGCCACTTGCTTTGACATGCTTGTGTTCTGGCATGAAATATTACAAGAGGGATGAGTGCTCCTGAGCGGGCTCGGTTCTAGGCACTTAGCCCCTTTGGGGGTTGGCGGGGGAGGGGGTGGGTTGCTGACTCCCTTTTACATCCCCGTATTGGAAGGAGTAGAAACTGGAGACGGGCTGCAGCGAAGTGGTGAGCTCCATCCCTTCTTGGACGGTGGCCTTGATTCCATGTCTCCCCACTTGTCACCCCCCACTCACGTGGCGCCGTATTTCAGCCCATCGTCCTCTGAAGTCAGGGACGGGCCACAGGGGCTAGAAGTGCAGCCCGAGGCCAGCCGGCTTGCGCCCTGCCTGCTTGCTGAGGACAGCAAGGCAGGTGCATCGTTGCCCTCCAGCTCCTCCTGCCCCGCTGGGGAGAAAATTTTGTTTCACTCTGTGTTGCAAGCAAGTCTGTGATGAGCAGACCCCACGCCTAGTAAGCGCCAGCAGCTGCCCTCGCCCTGCACTTACGTCCTTGCTTCCTGGAGCCCATCGGGCCACTCCTGACTGTGCCTTCAAACCATGCAGAGGACCTCTCAGACCACCTCACGGGTGCTTTTGTACTGGAAGATGAGAAGTATATGGAAATTTCATTTCCTCTGTTGCAAAGAAGACACTGAGGTTGGACATGCTCTGGCAGAAAGTCACCCTCCCAGGCTTGGAAGCTCAGCAGCTTTGAAAAGCCGCTGTTCTCCAAACGGCCACCATAGCCTTTGTTCCAAGTTCCTGATGTTGGTTCACGGGTTCACGTTTCCAGGAAGCAGGACACACTCCACGGATGCTCCTTGTCCCCATGAACTGTTGTAGCAGTATCTCAGTGGGCCTTGGAGAGGAGAGGAGGCGCGGATCTGGGAGGTGGGTGGTCCCTTTTGGACAGAGCCCCTCTGCTGACTTACTTCCCAACCTCTCCATGTCTACCTTTTGCAACATTATCACTGATTTACCCAGCAAATGCACACTGAGCAGACAAGCCAGGCACCATTAGAGGTGCTGGGATGGATAACACAAGCTCCCCGACTTCCTGGAACTCACAAGTTGGCAAGCATCCCATAAAGATGAACGAAATCGTTGTATTCGTGATCCTTTCGTGGTTTTTGCTACCGTGTGAACTGAGCACCTGCTATGCCTTGACATGTAGTATCACGGGTGTGGGCCTTGCCCAGGGAGAAAACGGAAGCCCAGAGAGGTCCACTGACTGCTCTAAGGTCTCATGGCTGATAAAGGGTAGAGCTGGGCGTCCACCTTAGCCTGTCTGTCCCCAGTGTCAGAAGGGAGACCTCTGTGATGACCAGGCTGATGGGGAGGGCTTCCGGAGGAGGAAGCATTTCACTTGGGCAGGGAGCCGAGAAGGTTGGGTAAAGAGGGCAGAGCTTACCTGGTAAGGTGAGAATCGGGGTGTTTGGAGTTATTCAGCTGCATCTCTGCCTAGGCACAAATCTGTAGTAAAGCTCTTTCTTTAGCGACAGAATTGTTCATGGAGGGAGCCAGCCTTGGACCCAGGCAGCTGCTTCCCAGAAGCCCTTCTCCCCTTCTCGCCGCTCCTTCCGGGGATCTCACCTGGCTGTGCCCTGTAAAAAAGTGGATTAAATACCTCACTCATTGCTCTCTGGGATTTTACTAAATAGTTAACACTGGCAAAATGAAAGGGCCTGCCAGCAACTGGTCTAAAACCACGGGGCTGCTGATGGAGACCCATTTTAAGACCGGGAGTGTAGATACAGTTGGATGGTTGGCCCACTCCGAGGAATGATGGGCAGGCGTTGGAAAGGACATGATGATTGGTACAGAACAGTCTTCAGTTAAAATCCAGTTGTGTAGTAGTAGTAGTAGTAGTGAGGTTGGCAAGAGACTGTTGATTTAGGAATACAGTTACAGTGTGTAGCTTTTCGTAAAGGAAAATTCTAGATAGAGGAATGGTGGAATCTTCTAGGGAGTGGGATTGAAGGGTAATTTTTAAAGAACAACTTTTTAATCCATACTTATTTTTCATATCTTCTGACCACATATATTTTTTTTTCTTGTAATAAGACCTAAGAATTATAATTTCTTTGAAAAGAAAGGAGAGGGGAGGTCAGATGTAAGCTCCTGTGTCCCAAGAAGCGCCTGAGTCTCTGGGGCGGGCTGGGGTGGGTCTCTGCATGGGGTCCCCTGCCCTGGCTTTGTTTCTGCTCTGGTACCTCGGGGCAGATCTGGAGTGAGGCTGCACTAGCAGCTTCCATAAATCATCCGACAGTGGATGTCCCAGCTCTGAGTGATGGACACTGGTCCCAGCCTTTGACCCAGAGCTGAGAAAAAAGCCCTTGGGGACCAGGAGTGTGGTGGCGTCTGTGGTTACCAGTAACTTCCAGATGAGCCAGGTTTGCCGTTTGCAGGTCGTTGGGGGAGAGCAAGGCCCTCACCCCCTGATTGCAATCACTTCCTGCCTCTTAGAGCCTCACCTCCAACCAGAACTTCCCCCTGTGTTCTGTTGTCTGCCAATGTGGCCCGAAAGCCAAGTCTATATCGACAGGCAAGCTTGTCAGATTTTTACTCTTTGTCACCCCCGCAGCTCTTCTTGCTTTTGCGGCGGGGGGAGAAGTCTCCTTAGGGACACTGTTTGGATAAGATTGGTGGTTGACAGATTTGAGTCCAGGTCTCACCCGCTAGTGGTTGGACCTGGCTAGTAACTGGCTGCCCATTCCAGCCCCCTAAGTGTCAGTTTGCCATCTGTAAAGTGGGCACAAACCCTCCTTTCCCCCTCCCAGGCCGGAAGGGTCAGAGAGAATATTTGGAAAGTGCTGCGCATTCACTCAGGCATTCAGTGAATTTTGGTCCCCTTCTCCCGTGCTCGTGGAGAAAATATTGGCATGTGTGGCAATCAGCATATCCAAGGCCCCAGCCATTCCTCAGGGATGTTTGGCCGTGGTGTAACCCACCCCACAATTCCTGTGGTTCTTGGCGCAAAGTTAGGAATGATGAGATAAAGGGCATTTTGTAGCGGCTGCTGGGCAGAGGACCAGGCTGCCCACGCCAGTCCCTGGGGTGTGGGATGTGGAGGGGGAGAGAGTACCCTGGGGCTAGTCTGGGTGGGGGTCCCTGGGGCCTCAGGGAGCCACGGAGGTTTGGAGCAGAAACCTCGACTGGGCATTGTTCATACTGTTACCTTAACGTGGGTATAGATTTTAGAACAACGGGGCGGGGGGAGGGCGCATTGTAAGCCCTCTGGTAAATGTGAGTGATTGTTGTGAGATCACTTAATGAGTGACCTGCCTGAGGTCACACAGCTAGGAAGTACCAGAGTCGGGATTTGAACCCTGGTCCGTCAAGTGCCAAACCTCCACTCTTGTCACTCTGATCTCCACTCTGATGTCCACCGACATCAGCTCTCGTTTCACTGGCCCCCAAGCTCCCCTTGATCTCAGGGATTTTCTTCTGTGGCCTGGCCCTGGCTCAGCCAGCCAGCCTGGAGTTCCTGAGAATTCGGGAGGCTTCCCAGGATACGGGCGCAGGGTGGGAGCCCCTGGCTGCGAATGTTGGAAGGCATGCAAGCATGAGCAAGTGTGACTGCTCGCTTAAAAATGGATCCCCCTTAACAGAGAGGGAGCCCTGATGATTCTTTGGTTCTTAAATGCATGCTTTATTTATCTCGGGCTTGGAAATGTACACTGAAGAATTCTGTCCTGAAACTGGGGTCGGGGAAAGGGTGGAGAGTTTGAATCAGACAAAAGTCTTGTGCCTAAATTGCCGTCGGTTAACAGACTTGCTTCAGCCAGACAGCATGTGGCCTGAGCTGGGGGTACAGGGTTTGGGGGCATTCCCCATCCCCCAGCGGCCTCCCCCGCCATCCCCGCTCAGCTGTGCTCACCACCCACTTCATTGCAGCAACAGCAGCTCCAGGCCCAGCACCTCTCCCACGCCACGCACGGCCCCCCGGTCCAGTTGCCACCCCACCCGTCAGGCCTGCAGCCCCCAGGGATCCCCCCGGTGACGGGGAGCAGCGCTGGGCTCTTGGCACTTGGCGCCCTGGGCAGCCAGGCCCACCTGACGGTGAAGGACGAGAAGAACCACCATGAGCTGGACCACAGAGGTGCGGCCCAGAGCTGGGGCAGAGGGCAGGGCTGGGCTGGGGGGTGGAGGCCGGGGGGCGTGTCCTGTAGGTCCTGCTGTGAGGAGACACAGCACATGTTGTCACCCTGGGGCCAGGAGTTAGCAAAAGATGTGGTGCTATCTGTCGAATTCCTGGTACATGGAAATCAGAGCCCCACTCCCCCCGTTCCGTGACTACCCCTCAATCCCTGCTCTGTACCGGGTGTTCTCCGGCCCGGAAGACCTCTCGTGCATCCTCCCATCCTCCCAGCTACACGCTGCCCATCCTTAAAGGGCCAGCCCAGGCCCATTCCTTCAAGATGCCTTCCAGTCCGTGCTGGGGACCTTTTTCCAATTCCCAGGAGAGTTGAAGAGCTGGGGTCCCAAGAATGAGCCCCAGGTTGCTGTCCTCTTGTAGCCTGCCCCTCAAGAATGTCTTGTCCTCACCAAGATCATTAGTCCTTCAAGAACAGGGGTCATGTTCCTGGCTTTAAACTTAGCAGATGTGTCTCACCAGCACAGGTGCCTTGGAAAAGGTACACAGTTGACGCTCAAGTAAAGACTTGCAAGTCGACTGTCTTTAAGCAGAGGTAGTGATCACTCTACTGCACAGAGATGATCGGGAATACTTGGAACGAGAACCCCCACCCCCTTCACCGGGCCCTTACCATGAGGACCCTGGGAGCTGCACTCACTAGGGCCCAAGAGGGCGTAGTTTGTCGGGGAAGGAAAATTCATGGCTCCCGGGCAGGCCCTTTTCCAAAAGTTGCCACCTCGTGTGGTGTCTGCCCTTAGACATTTTTTTCCCCGTTTTATTGAGATAGAATTGACATACAAAATTGTGTAAGTTGAAGGTGTACACCATGATTTGTCTGGCCTTTGGCTTTTGACCAGGGTATCCGGCCCAGGCCAGGGTGCCGGGGCGGTAGTGGAGTCTGGGAAGCAGAGACTGAGTTACTTGTCCCTGCAGAGGGCTGGTGCACTTGGCAGAGAAGAGGTATCCTCACAGCCGAGAGGAGAATCAGGGAGCTAGTGCTCAGCTGCTGTGCAGAGTGACCGGGCTTCTCCGCAGAGACGCACAGAATGGTGTTAGTTAAAAAAACAACAAAACCCACTCCCTCAGTTCCTTTTAAACAACAACATGCTCAATACCCAGATCCTTTGCAAGCTGGTGGCTTTAAAAAGTGTTGACCAGGGATCTGGGTGCCCTTCGTGGCGTGTCAGGCAGAGCAGGGCCACAGCCGCCCCCCCACCCCATGAGGGACTGGTGGCCAGGGGGAGCATGGGGGACTGGGGCAGTTAATTTGCAGGAGTGGGAAATGTCACCTAATGGCCCTGCCTTGGCTGACCCCCAGTGACTCAGAGAGCTAGGCCTGCTGCCCATGTTAAAACCCGTCCACTAGCAAAGCATAAAAGCCAGCTGCGTGAGACTGACCTTTTTCCTTTTTTTTTTTTTTTTTTTTGTCTTTTTCTCTTGGGGGGCCTGACCCTCCTCCTGTCCGGGCCTTCCGTCCCCAAAGAAAGAGAATCCAGCGCGGTAAGTGTCAGCACTCTGGAGCATGTGGAGTGTGTTTGGGGTGCTGGGGGGGGAGCAAGTGGGATCCTGGGGTGGGGGGGGATCTCTCCGGGCTTTCCATCCATCATTTGGCAGACGAGTAGCTTTAAGTGAGCTCTAACCCTCTTTTTTATGAGTGGTGATTAACCAGAGAGGTCAGCTGGCCAGTCTGGAGTCGCCGAGCCTCCACGAGCAGCCTGGGGGTCCTGTGTCCTGGGCGGGGACACTTCCCTCCTCCCAAGTTGGCTGCCCCGTGTCTGATCCTGTATGCTCCTCCCTTCCTCCAAACGCCCGAGGTTTCTCCGTGTTCTGGGCTTAAACTCGGTTTAAGAAAGTGCTAGCGAGCAAGCATTAAGGCCAGGCATTCTGCATGTCTGCCAGCTCTGAGATTTGTTGTAAATCTTTCTGATCACACTGAAGCTCAGAGGTTCTGTTTCAAGTGAATAAGCCTTCTGAATAAGTGCACTGGAGTCTGGATAAAAACAATCCTCCAGCGATTACCAAAGCTATTTTATTCCTCATCGCTGTCCTTGTATCTGGGGCCATCACATCTGTGAGGATGGCTTTGGTTATTACCTCGTGTTAAGTGGGACTTGGAAGGTCAGGCAGTTAACTAACCATCTAGACAGTAGGCTTCCTCGGGCAGCTCCATCCCGACCCCCTTCCCTCCCAGCCCTCCACCAGGCTGATCCCAATTAGCAATAGTGCTCTCGTCCCCTCTCGACTTGCTGACGTGCTCAGAAATCCAGGTGCACGTTTGGGTCCAGCAATGGCTCAGTATATCAGAAAGGAAAAACTGAAGCTGAAAATCCATTTTGATTGCTTGAGCGTTGATCCTCAGAAGGTGGCGTTTTTGGAGAGGTGGTAGGCCTAGATAGGAGTGGGGGGTGGACTGGACCCCTCCAGGCCTGGGTCTGGTCCTGGCTTCATGGGACGCCGGGTGGCTTTCTTGGCCTCTTTGAGCCTCAGTTTCTGTATCTGTGCCACGGGCATATTCTTGCCCAGCCAAGCCTCCCCACTTAGTCAGGAAGCCCCCTCACAAGAGCACCCAGCATCCGGGAGGTGACCCGGTTAACAAGGACCCGCTGCCGAGTGACACGAGGGTTTGACGCCCGACGCCCTCTGTCTTCACATCGTCCCCCTCCCCATTGCTGTTTGCATTTGGCTTTGTGCCCCAGTCTGTGAAAGCTTTCTGCTAAAAGAATCCCCCAGAGAATCCCCCAAGAGCTGAGCTCCTCACTCCGCAGTGCTGGTCCACACCCGTGCACGGCAGACTCGGGGGAGTCCGGTGGGAAGGGGTCAAGCTGCCATCCGTCCTGGGCCGGTGTGGGCAAGGCAGCAGGGCTTGTCCGCCTGTGGCCGAGGCGGCCGAGGCCGTGCAACCTGCAACGAGCAGCCCTTTGCAAACCAGGTTGTCAGCAGATGAGGCCCCCGCAGGAAGGACAGGGCCGCGGACGAGCGGGAGGGGGACGGCCGCACGGGCTGGAAGCTGTCCCAGAGGGGTTAGTCTGGAGTCCAATTAGAGGTAGCTTCATTCATATTTCCTTGCCTCGCCGAAGCAATAAAAAATACTTAGTTTTTTGGCTGCCTGCCAGCCAGAGGCGGGCTGGATCGATGCCGCTAAATGCCTGACATGACTCTCTCCAGTAGCAGCGAGGGTTTTCAGCCTGACTGCAGGAGAAGAAAGAGCTCGCTGTTCTCCGAGCCACGTACCAGGTCGCAAGGAGAAACCCGAGCAGCCGCCCCCCGCCCCCCGCCCCGCTCCCCACCCGCCCGCCTGGGAGGAGAGGGCCCGGGAGCCTCGCTCCCTAGTGCGGGGTGGCCGCCATCGGAGGAAATGAAATGCCGCTGATTTTTCTGCGGGCGCTCGCAGCGGCTAATTGAATTGCGGCTGTGTGCGCCTTGCCGCTGCTCCCGCACGGCTGTGGGCAAGGCTGAGCTGCACTTCCATTAGAACCTCCATTTTTTCTTCAAGGCTTGATAACTCTGCCATTTTAATTTGCTTCAGGCAGAAACTTGGCAGGGAAGGGCTGCCCAGAAACCAGCTTAGGAAAGGAAATGAAGTTCTGTGGTTTCCACACTGTCCTCCCCTCCCGCCCCCCCAAATGCCAGGGACTGGTCTCCAAGAAAGTGGGGGAGACGTGAAGTGGAGGCTCATTCCTCCCTCCCACCTCCCCGCCTTTCGATGTCCTTCTCTGCCCACGGCCCTCTGTGTCCCCGCGTGGCCGCGTCCTGCACGTCCACACTGCATGGGGATGTGGCTGGACTGGACTTCCCCTGCCCTGCAGTCCGACTGCGCCCTGGGAGAGCAGGGGCTGTGTCTGGCTCCCTTCCCCTATCCCTGGCACCCAGCCCCGGGCCTGATCTAGGGTGGGTGCTCAGGAAAGGCCGGCGGTGAGTGGTGAGTGATGAAGGAAGGTGTAGTTTGGTCCCTTAGAAAGGAGTAGACCTCAGCAGCCCCCTAGAGGGGCGCGCCGGTTCTGATACTGTCCCGGCCCCGGCCTGGAGGGCACAGGTTTGCTGGCAGGTGCCACTGTAGGTAGCTCCTCCCTCCCTGCTCCCTAGCCCGGCGCTGCCAGCCACACCGCGGGGGCCGTTCCTGGCCACCGCTAGCGCCCCGAGTCAGCCGGACCCCTTCCTCTGTGGGATGCTCTCCGCCTGCCCGTGCTGTTCCAGCTTGGTCTACTGGCCCGGCGCCGCTCTTCTCAGGCCTTGCATTTCAAACTATTGCTGGGCTTGCTTGCTTTGGAGTTTGAAGGGAGAATTCATTAGGCCCTTCCAGGCCTGAGCAGCTCGGGTTTCCTTCACGTTGCCTCCCGTGGGGTGCCTTGGGCACGTCTCCCAACCTCTCGCGGCCCCTGCATTCCCATCGTTACAAAGAGAATGATTTCACCTGCCCTTGTGCCTTTTCCCACCTTGCAGAGGGAAAGGCTTCATGAAGTTGCAATTCTTGTTTCTTTCTAACTGCTGTTTCTCTGAAGCGCTTGAGACCTGGCGATGGAGGAGTAGGACGTTCATACAAAATGCCAAGTTGCCCACCTACACGTAGAAGGCCTCTTGGCAACCCGACGTCCTTCCTCCCTGTCAGTCTCTCCATTCCAGTCGGGGTCAGCAGATGAAGTATTGGACGTGGCCCCTGTGTGTCCTCTTTGAGACCCATCTTTCAAGACTCAGTGCAAATTTTGCGTATCCCTTCTTTGAGCAAATGTACATGGCGGGCCCAAGGTGGGTGGTGAAGGAGGGGTGGCCGTCCTAGAACATAAGGTCCCACAGGCCAGAAAGCAGAGAGCTCAGCACAAGCCTATTTACTTAATAGCAGCGTCGCGGCTACAAGAGAGAATTGTGCTCCCAGGGCTCCTCCGCAGGGAGTCTGGATTGCTGCGAAGGCTTCCCTGGTAAGGCTCTGATGGAGTGGACGGTTGCAGGACACACACAACACCTCTCCTGACCTCTTGAGACCCCTGCGTTTAGCTTACGTCTCGGTGTGCGGGGATGTTCACACTGGATCTCCTTCTGGTTTTTCCAGAATAACTCCGTGTCGCCCTCTGAAAGCCTCCGGGCCAGTGAGAAGCACCGGGGCTCTGCAGACTATAGCATGGAAGCCAAGAAGCGGAAAGCAGAGGAGAAAGATAGTCTGAGCCGATACGTACGTGTGCTGGGCAGCACGGGGTCGGTGGTGGGGTCTGGGGTGTGGGAGAACCCACAGGCCTGACTCGTGGGTGAGTCAGAGGCACGGGCGGGGGCGGGCTGGGGTTCCTGGCCGGGGCGGCAGGGGCGGCGCAGGTTCATACACGCACGCTGTGAGCACATGGGCCACAGCCAGGACGGGGAGTGGCTGAGAACTGTGGGTGCCCCCCGCCACACACAGGCCAGGGGGCCCCATGCTGCCATCACAGCCCTCCCAGAATCCCCAGTCTGCTCCAGGGGGCCGTCCCCCACGCCCCCACCCTTTGAGCCTACCGTGTGGTCATGGTATTGCTGTGGGCCAGGCTGTTCGGATGAGAGCTGAGACCCAGGGAAGGGGGCCATGCTTTGCTGCTTGCAGTTCTGTACGTGTCACGCAAGTGCCTCAGCTGCATTTCTGGGAGACAAGGTGATCACCCCTCCCACACAGAGTGGTGGAAGCGATGACGTGAGGCTAGCACGCTTCCTCGACCGTGATGGTGGCTATGAAGCCGCTGGAAGGAGCCAAGTGTGATGGGGCAGGTGTGGGTGAGGCTGCCAGTGGGCATGGAGCGCAGTGACCCGGAACAGGGCTAGGGGGCTGGGTGAGCGGACAGCCAACGTCGGTGGGCCAGAGGGGAGAGCGCATGGACTGTGGGGTTTGGCCCTGGGTTCAGATTCCAGCTGGTGGAAGCAGGGGATGCTTCAGGCTTGGTCTGGGGGTGTGGTGGGGGTGGCCCCCTGACTGGCTTCTCTCTCGGTTGCAGGACAGTGACGGGGACAAGAGTGACGATCTGGTGGTGGATGTCTCCAATGAGGTGAGCACGGACAGGCCCAGGTTGCAGCGTGCTCGGTCTCGGGGGGGTTTGGGGCGGTTCCTCCCTTGCCTGGGAGCTGTTGTGTCCCAGCTACTGCTCCATCCGACGTGGCTGGCAGCCAGAGCAGGGCAGCGAGGCATTCGGCTGGTCAGGAGGAGGAGAACAGGGCTTGGCTGCATGGTGGTTGGGGTTGCTAGGGCGGGAGCCCCCGGGAGAGAACGCAGGCATACCCCAAAGATCCCAGGCAAGGGCCAGCTCCTGTTCCCTCTGGTCCTCCAGGTCAGCTCTGTTCTCCCCACCACCTCGCAGCATCTTGAGGGTAGGGGTCGTGAGCCCCTTGGGATCCGCCTCAGCAGGGAAGGAGGACCTGGAGCTGCATGAGGCCAAGAGGCCCCACTGCCCAGATTTGAGTCTTGAACTTGTGTCTGGTCACCATCCCCCACCCCCGCCAGGCCCCAGTCTCCCCATCTGTGGGATGAAGGGGTGAGACGAGATCACTGGGAACTAGTCGCCCCCGACTTTGTGGCCCCAGGTCCTCTCCCCGTCAGCTGTGTGCGCTCCCGGCCTGTCCCCAGCGCAGGGCAGACTCCAGGCTGGTTGTTGCTGTCAGTGCATCTCTGCATCCCTTGTGTTTTTAGGACCCAGCGACGCCCCGGGTCAGCCCGGCACACTCCCCTCCTGAAAATGGGCTGGACAAGGCCCGCGGCCTGAAAAAGGATGCCCCCACCAGCCCCGCCTCAGTAGCCTCCTCCAGCAGCACACCTTCCTCCAAGACCAAAGACCTTGGTCATGTATGTGGGGTCTGCCACTGGTGCCACAGAAGTGGAGGTCTGGGGCAGGCGGGGGTGGAGGGAGAAGGTTCTGGAAAAGGGACAAGCTGGAATGGTCATGATTGGAGGGTAGAGGGGTGGTTTACAAAGAACATGGATTGGGGTTTGGCCCCAGTTCAAATACTGGCTTTCCCACTTGCTGGTTGGGCCCTGTGCTCCCAGTTAATGTTTCCGAGCCTTGGTTACTGCATCCATAAAATGGGAACGATCACCACTGTCCCTGACAAATAAGGTTGGCAAGAATTGAGGGGCCGTGGGGCAGGAGATTCAGAACTGGAGCCGGCACTGGGTGTTGTGGCCCCAAATGCCCAGCTCTCGAGAGAAAGGAATCTTCATGTCTTCCCTATTCAGAACGACAAATCCTCCACCCCTGGGCTCAAGTCCAACACACCTACTCCGAGGAACGATGCCCCGACTCCAGGCACCAGCACGACCCCAGGGCTCCGGTCGCTGCCGGGCAAACCCCCCGGCATGGACCCAATAGGTATAATGGGTAGGCACGGCGCTGGGGCGACGGCGCTGGAGGGGTGGGGTCTGCCCCGGGCCCGGGCTGGGGCTGCACAGCTAGGCCAGAGCACTAGGAAGTATGTGGGGGTTGGGGCTGTCCCAGGGCCTGCCTCCGGGGGCACTCCATGGTCAGGTTTGAGGAGGACGTGGACACCTGATGTGTCAGAACTGATGGCAAGGGCTTACTGGGGCTGCTGTTGGACTCGGCGTGTGGAAGGAGCTCCAGACAGGTTGTCCCCATGTGTGTCATCAGTTCCTTGAGACTCCCCACAACCCCCTTCTGGGCCTCCGTGTCCTGCTGTGTAAAAAGAGGTGGGCATATCTCTCGGCTTGAACCTTCTCGGACCGCGAAGACCAGGATCCCAGTTAGATGGGTTCAGTCCAATAGGGCTGCCTGGACCAGGCGGCCTTCGAGTGCAGGAAGGATTGCTGCTGGGCTGGGAGGCCTCCTGGTGGGGCCTGAGCTTTGTCCTGGAAGGAGGGGTGGGCCCACTCCCCCTGAGGGTCTCCCCTGGCTGACGCCCGCCTCCTTGCAGCCTCGGCCTTGCGCACGCCCATCTCCATCACCAGCTCCTACGCGGCCCCCTTCGCCATGATGAGCCACCACGAGATGAACGGCTCGCTCACCAGCCCGAGCGCCTACGCCGGCCTGCACAACATCCCACCACAGATGAGTGCGGCCGCCGCCGCGGCCGCCGCCGCCTACGGCCGATCGCCAATGGTGAGCTTTGGAGCTGTACGTAGACCTTTTGGCTCCTTTTGGGGGGACTGAGCAAGGAGTGGGGAGTTGGTGGGGGGTTGTCAGGCAGCTGCCTCGGGGGCAGAGTGTTTATTAGAAAAAGAATGGGACAGAGGCTTTGGGGTCAGCAGACCTGGACCCCACCCCCACTTGACCTGTTAGTCGTCATGTGACCTCATACAACTCAGCACCCCCCCCCCCACCACCCAGGCCGTCTTTTTCCATCTGGAAAGTAGGGCTGCTCTCTCTTTTTCTGGGCTGTGTGGGGATGGGAATCCCAAAAGCTGTCCAGTGACTTCCACGTAGCCTGGATTTGGTAAATGAGGCTGCTTGCTATACCGAGAATGAGTTCAGATGTGGGTCGGCAGAGAGGGGTTCTTTCTCAGGAGACGGTTCCTCTCCTGGGTGGCTTCCTCTCTCTGAGATGACGGGCCCACTGGACACCAGGGGAGAGAATGAAGTGGGGCCGGATCAGCTCTGCCTGGTGGAGCAGGGAGAGCTGGGGGTGTGGGGCTCGAGAATACTGGCTCAGAGTTGGTGGGTCTGGACTGTCACGCTGTCCCTCCCACTGTCCTGGGCAAGACACCTGGCCTGCTGGGCCTGTTTTTCCTCTGAGACAGCTGGCTCTGCTCTGTCTTCCGGGTTTTGAAGAGGCAGCGCTGTGGGCAGGACCTAGGAAGTGGTGAAGGAAGAGGCTGGGGCGGGGGCTGCGTGGTGGCCTCCCTCACTAAGGGCTGGCCTGGTCTTGCCTTACAGGTTGGTTTTGACCCTCACCCTCCCATGCGGGCCACCGGCCTGCCCTCGAGCCTCGCCTCCATTCCTGGTGGGAAACCGTAAGTTCCGGCTGTGCTTACTGCATGCTAGCTGGGGAAAGCGTACAACCCCCTACCCCTCTGCCCAGCCCTGGTCGACCTCCCCTTGAGAAGATGTCCGCCCTCTAGAGGTACTCACAGACCAGGTTGTAGCTGCGGGAGACGGCTGCCTGGCCACACTTCTGACCGGCCCTGGGGCTCCCTCTGAGTGGGGAACTGGGGATGGGGAACACCGCAGTTGATGGGGCCTCCATATCCAAATGACGTGAGCGGCCCTGGCCTCAGGAGCTCCTCTGGGTTGGAGCTGCTGGAAGCACCCCCAGCCTAGAAAGCAGGTAGACGGTGCTGGCTCACCCCCAGCTCCGATGTGCACTCCATGATTCCTCCTGGGCAGTGGGGCGGGGGGGGGAGACACACCTCTTTCCCTCCTTCTTACGCCGAGGCTTATAAAGGAGGAGGTAACATTCGAGCTGAACCCTTTCCACAGGGATTTATAGATGGTAGGAAAGGGCATTCCAAGGCACATGTGGGGCTAGGGACGCGATCTGGAGCCAAGGGTGTATGGGAGCAGGAGCAGAAGTCAAGGCTGGGATGTTAAGCAGTCCCCTACCCGGGTAGAACCAGGCCAGGGAGGTTGGGGTGACTGGGTTCCCTAAGATTTGGGGCATGGGGCCCAGACGTGGGCCAGTCGGGGTGGTGCTGTCTGACCTGGGAGGACTCGTGGGAACTGAAAGGATTGGGGATGACGGAAGGGATGGTTCTCCCTTTCAGAGCGTACTCTTTCCACGTGAGTGCCGATGGGCAGATGCAGCCCGTGCCCTTCCCCCACGACGCCCTGGCAGGCCCTGGCATCCCACGCCATGCCCGGCAGATCAACACGCTGAGCCACGGGGAGGTGGTGTGCGCCGTGACCATCAGCAACCCCACGCGGCACGTCTATACAGGTGGCAAGGGCTGCGTGAAGATCTGGGACATCAGCCAGCCGGGCAGCAAGAGCCCCATCTCCCAGCTGGACTGCCTGGTGAGGCCCCAGGACCTCAGGCATCTCCTCTAGCCGGCGGAGGGGCAGCCTGGCTGGGCAGCCGAGCAGGCTGGCTGGCTGACCCCTGAGCCCTGGGTTTACTTACCATCCTTAAGTGGAGATAGCGAGCTTCCCGGGGTTTGTGAAGAGATGCCCGAAAGATTGAAGGGTTGTGGATGAGGGAGGGGATGGCCTGGCAGCTGCCGGGAGCGAGGGCGGGATGTGAGCAAGCAGGGGTGGGCGAGGGTGGCAAGGGCACTTGGTGTCGCCGGATGCGATTCTTCTGGTCCCTGGGAGGAGGGGCGGGCAGAGCTCCATGTTGCCCCTTCTCCCTCCAGAACAGGGACAATTACATCCGCTCCTGCAAGCTGCTCCCTGACGGGCGCACGCTCATCGTGGGCGGCGAGGCCAGCACGCTCACCATCTGGGACCTGGCCTCGCCCACACCCCGCATCAAGGCCGAGCTGACGTCCTCGGCTCCTGCCTGCTACGCCCTGGCCATCAGCCCCGACGCCAAAGTCTGCTTCTCCTGCTGCAGCGACGGTAACATCGCCGTGTGGGACCTGCACAACCAGACCCTGGTCAGGTGAGGCTGCGCGAGGGAACAGGGGAGCCTCGTCCTCGGCAAGGTCACGCTGGTTGTAACGGGGACCCGTCCAGGGTGCTTCTGGCCGTGGGGTGGCCACATCAGAGTGGGCGAGGACCCCCGGGTGAGGAGACAGCCAGGCCTGCCCTGTGCAAGGGGGCAGCCGTGGGTCAGGTGCTCGGCGTGGGCAGGGGACGGAGGGCTCCCCTGCAGAAGGCTCCGGGGGGAGGAGAGCGTGGAATTCAGAGCATCGGAGACAGCAGAGGGGGAGAACTGAGGAAGGAGGGCATCGGGACCGGAAGGTCGGGGGCAGTGTCACTTGGTGGTTGTCATGGGGCCTCGGGAGCCGTGGCCCCATGGGAATCCTACCCCCATTATGACCCTGTGCTGGTCACTCCGCTCCCATGTCTCCGTGACCCTGGTGTGAAGCGGGCATGGTGAAGGCGGTGCAGGGTGGCGTGCCCGCCCCAGAATCGGCTGTCAGTGCACAGTGGCTGTCCTCGCTGGTCATAGGGGCCTCTAGCTGCATATGGCCTCAGCCCCATAGCCCAGCAGGGGGAGGAGACCTCCCCAGGGCGGAGATTCTGGAGTGGGCCGGGAGGAGGCCCGGCTCTGCTGCGAGCTCACCAGGGGACTGCGGGTGCATGGGCCACCCCCTTCTGGGCCTCCTTTTCCTCTTATGCTCAGACACCGCTGGCCTCGGCACTCGGTGGTTCTGGAGGGCTCACCCCCTTTCCCTGCTTGGCCTTCATAGGCAGTTCCAGGGCCACACGGACGGGGCCAGCTGCATAGACATCTCCCACGATGGCACCAAGCTGTGGACTGGAGGCCTGGACAACACCGTGCGTTCCTGGGACCTGCGAGAGGGTCGGCAGCTGCAGCAGCATGACTTCACTTCCCAGGTGTGTGCACTCCTCCCGTCCCCCAGGCCAGCGTGCGCCCTTCCCTTCTGGGGTCCCACTGGCTGGGTCAGGGGACAAGGGGGCCCTCACAGGTGGTCATTGCAAGTGGACCTCTGACCAACCTGAGCCACCTTGGAAGGCTTCCTGGAGGAGGCAGCAATAGAATAGAATCGACAAGGCCCTGGAGTTGGATGTACTTGACCCAACTGTTCAGAACTGATTCTCAGCTCCTCTACTGTTGAGCGCTTTGGCCCCGGTGTTTTTCCTCCCTCGTGGGATGGGCACAGTAGTAGCTACCTCGCAGGTCTGGTGTGAGCACCTGAAAGGGTCCCATTAAAGCCCTAGCTATAGCCTGGTTCATAGAAGATACTCCGTTAACGTTAGGTAGCCTTATCTTCCATTGTTGTTTGTGTTATTTAAGTATTTTAACTATATATTTAATATTTCAGTGTTTTATTCACTTTTTTTCTTAAGGAAAGGAAAAAGTCACAGGGAAACTTGTGTAACTTGGAAAGTGAAATGCCTCTTTCATCTCGGAGTTGGGATGCTGGCTCTATACCACTTACTTTCTAGAGTCAGCAACCTCTCTGAGCCTCTACTTCCTCACTCCTACAAGGCATTCCAGGGCTGAGGGAGAGGAGAGGGGCTTTGCCTTGCAGATGGCATGTGGGGACATGATGGGAGCGGGAGCGGTGGGCCCCTGCCCTCGGGGTCCCTGAGCAGGGCCTTTGAGGAGCCCCTGGGGCCCTGGGGGAAGGGTCGGGGGGACAGAGGAGCTGAGCCCGGTCTGCCGCCCCCTGCAGATCTTCTCGCTGGGCTACTGCCCCACCGGGGAGTGGCTGGCCGTGGGCATGGAGAGCAGCAACGTGGAGGTCCTACACCACACCAAGCCGGACAAGTACCAGCTGCACCTGCACGAGAGCTGCGTGCTCTCCCTCAAGTTCGCCTACTGCGGTGAGCCTCAGGGGGCCGGGAGCCGGGGCAGCCCCGCCTGCCGTCTGCACGGATGAGGGGCCCAAAGCTTGAGAGCAAGGCAGAGCCCGCACGCCAGCCACGTCTTGGAATCCAGCCTCCTGATCCCGACCGCTGTCTGCCCCTGCCGCCCCCCATCCTTATTCCTTGGGTGCGGCTACGGCCACAGGGTACCAAGCACGCCCAGCAGCAGGCCAGAGCCAGCCGTCACGGGCCTGGGGCAGGGGAACAGCACTCTGAGCCTTGGGGCCGTTCCTCCGCTGGCTGAGACCGCGGGCTGTGATGGCTGACAGCCCCGGGTTGGATCTGCTTCTCCCCGGACTGGCTGCGCAGCCTTGGCCACCCCTCATCCTCTCTGCACGCCAGGGGGTCTTTCTCTGGGAGTCGCCCGGGGCCCCCCCACGCGTCTTTGGAGAGCAATAGCACGTTAGCCCGGGCTGAGCCCTGGCAGAGCGGCCTGCGAGTCAGAGCACTCGCCGGTCACCGGCTGCGGTTGGCTGTGTCTCCAGACCTCAGGGCTCTGCCATTTCTAGCACTTTCTGCCGCCTTCTAGTCATAAAACCGAGAAGGGTCACTCCACTGATAGCTTTAAAAAGAATCTTTTGGGGAAGTGTCGTGTCTGTGATTTACTGCAAATCCCACTGTTCTCCATCCCGTCGGCACCCACCCCTCCCCCGTGATTGCAGAGAGGCGTTCTGGGCGAGGGGGCCGGGGTGGGGGCGGTCTGTGAGTCAGATACGGGTCTCGCTTATGAAATGCCCCTCAGCAGCCGAGCCTCTTAACTAAGCACTGGCTGGCAGTTCACACCACATCTCCATGGCAGCCGGCCATGTCTGGGGCGGGTCTCGCTTTCCAGGGCAGCCAGCCACGAGCTGACGCTCCTTTGCTTCCCGCCTGCAGGCAAGTGGTTCGTGAGCACTGGGAAAGACAATCTCCTCAACGCCTGGAGGACGCCGTACGGAGCCAGCATATTCCAGGTACCGCCCACCGCCTGGCCGCTGCCCCGGGTTGGGGCCTGCCCCTGGGGATGGGGATGGGGGTGGGGATGGCCCCTTCCAGCCCCTACGTGCTCGGGCTCCAGGGTGGGTTCCCCAGAGCCAAGGCCTGGGACACATCAGCGGGACACACATTGCAGCTGGTGGCGTCTGACCCATAGGGTGAGGGCTTTTAAGTGGGGGTTCTTGTGGTATTTCTAGAACAAGGGGGAGTTAAGTCATGCTCTTGGCTCTGGCCTGTGGCCTAAGCACTCCCAGGAGGTGCCCTGGGCGGCTCTTTTCAGAGCAGCGTTCCCTGATGTTCAGGTAAGTTTGTGTTTCATCTCGACACCTCAGTGTAAGGAGTGAGAGAGGGCAGGAGAGAAAGGGTCTGGAAAGAGATGGGAGAGCGGGAAGAGGCTTTTCATGATTTTTCAAGATCTGGGTTCCGACACACAGCTCTCACTTAACGCATAGTCTTGACTGCACGCACGCACGCACGCACAGTATGCTCCTGTGCTCCGAGCGGACAAGCCGCTTTTGGGACCCGTGCTGGGAGTGTGTGGCGTCCAGCATGTCACACGTGTAACCCTCGTTACACTGGACGCTTTGGGTCAGGCGGAGGTCCCCTTCCTGGCTCCGGCCCGCTGACGCCCACACCCGCTCAGAGGTGCTCCTTCCTGTCGGTAAACCGAGGAGAAGCTCGACCTCCAGTGCTCTCTTTCGAGCCATACAACTCCACGATCACCCTGGGCCCTGGTCATGCGCCTTTCCCGGTGGAAAAGCCGAAGGACGGGACATCTGTTCCCGAAAGTGCCTCTCTAGGCTGCTTTGGGGGAGGCCATGCTGGGGGCGCCTGGGGTTGGAGCTCCGGGGCCGGCAGACGGGGTGTGACGCAGACAGCGCGGAAATCGCGCTGAGGACCAAGAAAGTGAATTTCTGCCTTTTTTTCTCCCCACGCCCTCCTGCAGTCCAAGGAATCCTCGTCTGTCTTGAGTTGTGACATTTCGGCGGATGACAAATATATTGTAACAGGCTCTGGTGACAAGAAGGCCACGGTTTATGAGGTCATCTACTAAACAAGGACTCTGACTGGGCTGTCAGACTCTGGGAGAAAAAGACTCGGCGGTGACAGGGCGACCCCGCGAGGGGCCCCGAGGCTGGCGGAGGCCGGCGGTGGGCAGCCGAGCGGTCCAGGGCTGCGCTCCGGCAGGCCGAGAGGGCGCGCCCGCCACGGTCTGGACCCCTGGGCATGGACTCCTGTGTCTCATGGACTCTGACGGATGTCTCTCCTCCTCCCTGTCCACAACCCTGGCAGATGCTACAAGTAGATTTCTTTGGAGGCTTGGGGTTCCAGCCCCCCGACAGACGCCTTCATGAATCTCCATCTTTCCTTCCCCTCTCTTTTGCTCTGTCCCCCTGCCCCGGGTCGGGGGGGACACTGGAGTGGACCAGGTGTTTGTGCTGGGGGAGGGGGGGGATCTCATTTTCCCGATTGTGCAGCGCACAACATTTGTGAAAAATGTAAATAACAGACTCCTCTATCTCGGACTGGTCAGTGGGGGAGGAGGCCCCTTCCCACCGAAAATGCTAGCCGCGTACTAGCCGTGTACTTCGCCTGCTGTATTTGTAACCCACTCGTGGTGGTGGCTTTTTTTTTTTTTTTTTTAAAGGGACATCCCCATCTGGGAAGGGGAGGCAGGGAGGGGGAGCCAAATGGAGAGGGAGTGGAGGGGCAGAGGAAGGGAGCTGCAGCTGGTGACCAGCCTGACCAGGAGGAGGGGGGGGTCCCTGGGACGAACGCACCCCCCTGTGGACTTGGGAGCAGCCCAAGGCCTGTCGGGACCTGTGCAGGCTGCACGGGCGGCTGGGCAAGGCTTGCGTGGTGGCCAGCCAGGCTGACGAAGGCCGGATTCTCTGTGGCCGCCTGCGCTCTCCTCCGTCTCTCTCAGGGGTCCGACTCTTGCTCTCTCTTTCCTTCTCGCCTCGCTCGCTCGCTCTCTTTGGTGCGCACTTGGTTATGGTGATGGGAGGTGGAGGCGCGAAGGAACTCCATCTCTGGCCCTTCTTGATCTCCGGACACAACCTTCAGAGGACAAAAAGTTAGAGGAAAGCATAGCAACTCAGCTCAGGGAGCTACCAGAGAAAAATAGCAACTGATGTGGGTGCTTTTTTTTTTTTTTTTTAATAAAAAGAATTAGAACTGATGTCCTTTATAAAAATGCCTTCTCCCCCTTTCCTGCCTCTGACCCCCTCCTCTCTCCCTAGAGGGGGAAAAGTGTAATCAACCTGCAAGGGTTGTGAGTCTGAAGGGACAGTCTTTCCCCCCACCCACCCCGGGCAGCACAACAGGGCTGAGGGGACCAGGGGTCGGGTGGGGACACCGGTCCTGGCACTGTGGTGACTTCTTGCGGCTTTCAGTCTCTTTGGAGCCCAAACAGGTTACAGGTAGAAAAATCGTCTCCTGCAGGTACCACTCTTTGGTACCAAAATGTTCTGAGGTATTAGGACTTGGGTTTATTATTTTTTTTTTTTCCTCTTCTTCTTGGTCTTTTTTTTCTTCTTTTAAGGAAAAGCTAAAGGCCGATGTGAGTCCTGGTGGTGGGCTCTCCATGGATGTAGCATATGGAAGATAATTTTGATACTGCATTTTTATGGATTATTTTATAATGTGTGATTCCGTCTGGTGAGAAGGGAGGAAGGGGCCCCAGTGGAAACTGCTGGTCTTCAGTGATCTTGCTCCAGTCTAGCAGCTCCCCTGACACGACCCAGAGGCTGTGGAGAGGCCATGGAGACCGGCCGGGTGCCCTGTACCTTTCTGAGGTGGGGGAGGGGCCGTCTGGAGAATTTCTCTCTTTCTCTGGGTCTTGGATGTGCATCTGCCATGTCTTGTTAAAGGCTCTAGCCACAAGGGAGGGTGAGGGTAGAAGAAAGTTGATTCCTGAAGAAAAAAAGAAAATGAAAAGTCATTGTAATGAGCTGTTTTTATATTTTTAAAAGTTGCTATTTAAAGGTTGGTTTGATTGTTGTGTTTTATTGCCTCTACCCCCCCGCCCCCGTTTGTCAGACCTCCCCCAAAAGAGAGGGCGACCACTGTCACCCTCACGGCCTGGATTCTGGGTGATTTCCGTTGTCATCCCTAAACAGGAGCTCCTGTCATTTCAAAGCACTTCCCACGCTGCCCCCAACCCCCAAAAGTCTGATCTCGCAGGACAGTGAGGGGGAGTGTTCTCCCTGCCTTCCCCAGGCTGCCTTCCGGTCTCCACACTGGGGAGTGGTGGGTGGGAGCCCACCACTGGGCTCCTCTGCATGCACATGGCAGGATAAAGTTCCCCAAGGGGAGGACCGAGGATTTACACCAGAGTCTTTAACTAGACAGTCGTCCGTGCAAAACGTTTTGGTAAAAAATGAAATGCGAAGAACTTCCAAGTGTAGAGTGTCTATGAACACCATCTGGACTCTGAAAGCCTTCACCATCTTACGTCTCAAGTTAGATGTCACACGGGGGACCTCAGTCTCCAGTTCACAAAGCTGTGGGTGAAGGCTTTTGGAGGGGGGATTTTGCAGAAGGGGTAGGGTAGGAAGTGCAGGCCAGTACCTTCGGAGGCAGGGCTAGGCTAGGGGGCTTCCTAGGCTCTGGGGTTTCCTGCACCCAGTAGAGAGACCTCTCCTAAAGCTGGGGACTGACATGGTTTCCAGCTCCGTCTCTGGTCAAAGTCCTACTAAATCCACTAAATCCACGGTCGTTTTACACAAAAAAGGGAATAACAACGTTTTTCAAAAGGAGTTAGAATAAAGCACAGTCTTTATTAGCCTAGAAAGGACAGCTGGACTGCATGCACAGAGGGGTTGTCCAGCCGGAGAGGGATGTCCGCTCAGGCTTCTAGAGGAGAAGCTTCCAGCAGGTAGAGCGGGTAGGAGGAATGCTGATCTGGGGCCGCTGTGTGGCCAACAGCTCTGTCTTGGTTGCATGGACTTTAGTAGAACATCACACTCCTCTGTCCACGCTGCTGCATTGAAGCAGAGGGATAGAGGGCCAGCTGATGGGCTGTGGCCAGAAGATTCTGCATGTGCCCGGGACCCACCTGGGGATGGCCCACCGGTGCTAAGATAGGAGTTGGGCTTGTAGGCCTCAAGGAGAGGACAAGCCGCATGTCTATCAGAGAAGGTTCACCTACAGTCTTGCCCTGGCAGAGGTGGCTACGACCATTTCCGAGGAGGGGGAAGCAACCTCTGGAAGGCTGTTGTACCCAGATGTCCTGGGCCCAGGCAAGGATGTAGAGCCGACCGAAGTCTGGTCCTAACCCCGGAGGCTCCCAGTCGAGGGTAGGGAGACCATAGAGCTCCAAATTTGACTCTGTCCATGCTGCTGGAGACACATCCCGGGCCCCAGCTGCAAGCGCCTTGCCTCCCACCTGTTGTCACCACCATTGTCCCTTACACCGGCTTGCCAAGCCTCTCCACGCAGATGGTCCCATTGCGTGCTCCCTCCGCCTCTCACCCACCACTCTGCTCTGCTTCCCAGCCAGCTTGGTAGAAACCTCGAATCTCAGCCCTGCTGCAGCTGAATCTGCATTTTAACAGCCCCTCCGCTGACTCCTCGGCACCTGTACGTTTGTGAGGGGCTCTTCTAGTCCAAGGTGAGGGGCCCACTCACAGCAAACGGGAAGGGAGGACTTGATACTATTTTCGAAGTCACCCCTACCCTTACCCTGCAGAAACGCAGGCCCGGTCAGTCCTGGCATTGGCCACATGTCACCACACCTGTCTGTCTGCCAAGCTAGACCAGCTTCCCTGGAGGGCAGCTCCCAGGACTTAAGTGGCCCCGGGGTGGTCCTGGCTTGAGATTATTCTATTTCTCTGGGAGCAGGGCATCTGGATGCTTGTAGTTGAAGCCAAGAAGTGGGCTGACTTCTGGAGTTCTGTCAACTCTGCCATTGCTCAAAGCAAGGAGATCTGTTTTTAAAAATGGGGAGGGTATGATTGTGAGAAGGCAGCTTTCATGCTTTTAGTCCACATCAGATTATGGACAGGTGTCCAGGTCATCCCAAGCCACAGCTGACCAGGCCGTGGGCCTCCTGGCCTTTCTCCATCCCCTTTCCCCACCCGTAAGCTGCTCAACCCCAGCATAGGCAGTGACTCTCCTAATTTTAACATCTATGAGAAGGTACAGAGATACGGATCTCTGGATACTGCAGCTGGACAGATCCTTAGCAAGAATGCTAAATGGTATTACCTGGCCATCAAATATTTCATCATGATGGAGTGTACTTTTTTTTTCAGGAATGCAGTGCTTGAAAATGAACATTTTGTAATGTAAAGTATAGCAAACAAACATTAATATTTTAAAAATTTGCATGGTTATGCATCATTTTCTTTTTCTTACGATAACAATATAAAATGCACTCTATTCCAGTACCTGTGCAACATTTTTAAACATTACACCAAAATTGGACCTTTTGTATTTGAAGAGGTCTCTCTACTGAGCTCTTAATTTTACAAATGGGACAGTTAGGCCCAGAAAGGGCAAGAGACTCACCATGAGTCACCCAAATCACATCTCGCTCTCCCCTAAATCCCTAGCATACTTTCAGGGAAGGCAGGACTGATATTTGGAAGGTTAGAATCCAGAGGACGAGGGCTCCTCCCCTTCAACGGTACGGGTGAAAAAATTCCTCATGGAAAGAAGTAGCCAAGAAAGGCCATGGAAACCAGCCTTCGCCCTTGAGAACCTAGAACTCACCCATCCATCCATCCATCCATCCATCCCCTACTCGCTCATCTATCCATCCATCCATCCATCCATCCCCTACTCGCTCATCTATCCATCCATCCATCCATCCATCCCCTACTTGCTCATCTATCCATCCATCCATCCATCCCCTACTTGCTCATCTATCCGTCCATCCATCCATCCATCCATCCCCTACTCGCTCATCTATCCATCCATCCATCCCCTACTCGCTCATCTATTCGTCCATCCATCCATCCCCTACTCGCTCATCTATTCGTCCATCCATCCATCCCCTACTCGCTCATCCATCCCCTACTCGCTCATCTATTCGTCCATCCATCCATCCCCTACTCGCTCATCTATCCATCCATCCATCCATCCATCCATCCATCCCCCACTCGCTCATCTATCTGTCCATCCATCCATCCATCCCCTACTCACTCATCCATCCATCCACCCATCTGTTGAACTATCCTTGTATCCACCCGTCCATCCAACCCACATTTATGTAGTGAGAATTAATATGAGAGGCATGGTTCTAGATGCTGGAATGCAAAGATCAATAAGACAATGCTTACCCAGATAGAACTTTCTCAGCCAGAGGTGGGAAAGAGCTGATCCCAGGGCAGAGGAGGAGATCAGTGATCTCAAAGTGAAGAGCGTAAGAGGGAAAGTGAAAGATAAGAAGCCCCCCCGCCGCCCCCAACTCCATCCCTGCCCAGCTCAGGCCTTCCTCGTGTCCATTAGGTCACCATTAGTCAGGGCCCAGAAAACTCCTCGGTGCGCTTGCCCTGACCCTGACTCAGCTCTCTCCCAGGCAGATCAGACAGGGCAGGGTTGATGGCTCAGAAGCGGGCTCTTGGGACCTCCCAGACTGTGGAGGCCGGATGAAAGTCAGATGGGGCTGGAGCCTTTGTCTCTCCTTGATATTACAGCTGCCTGATGCAACCGTGTGCTGACAATAGGTTACACGGTTTGAAAAAAGCAGGTCTGGAATT